ACTTCAAATTCTTACTTCGATAAACGAAGGAAGAATCATTAAACCCCTCACGGTTCAATCAGAATCTGTGATTTGGTGGTCCACGAGTCAAAGCGCTCCCGGCACAGGCAAAGATCCCACGCAAGCAGCGATCCAAACAACGATCCTGCGTTTGTTTCTAAAAAGTTGTAATTTTTCTTTTGTTGTGTAAAAGAAGTCTTATAAAAAGGCTATTTCTTTTGAATTTGTTGTAATCGACCGAAGATATAATGAATTCCATAACAAAACCAACTTTTGACGCAAACAAGCTGGCGACCACAGTGGGAGCCAACGGTCTCGCTGCCGAGACCGTCGTGTCGCAGCCAATCAAGATACTGGTTGAGTCCATGGTTGAATATGAAACCAAGTTTGAGGAATATCTCTCATCATCATCTTCAAGATCTTCATTGTCTCGCAAGTATAAGAGGATCTCACAATTGAGGAAGACTTACATGCCAAAGAAGGCACAAAATGAAGACTCTCGCCTGATTGTTGCTGAGGATTTTACTCGCAACACCTCTGCTCACAATGACTCTTATCTAGTTAAAGAGCCATCGAATCAAAGCCCACCAACACTGACGAAGAGGGCTCGTCAGAGACAACGTCAGTGCCGCGCTCGTCAAATAGCTAAGGCCTTGGAACAAACCGACGAGGTTCGCTATCACGCGGACCTAGAGTCGAGGAGACATCGAGTGGTTCAGTTGTCTCAACGACCAATCACTCATGTCTCTGCTAAACTCACGACGGAGGAATGGACTATTGTCAAAAAGACTCGTTCGACCCTCAAAGAACGTATACAAAAACGTCGTGCAAACGCTGTTCATGCCCGTGCTCTCTCACAACAAAGACATGACCAAAGAACCACCGAAATTCTGCTAAGTTTGGATTCCAAAAACTAGAGTTGTGCAAAATCAGCATTCGGAGCCCGTTAAGACTCCATACCCACAATGGGGTGGTTCTAAACGTGCGACTCCCGACATAACCTTGGATCGCTCGAAGACAAAAATAAATTGTCCTGAGAATGTCAACAAGGTTTTACATCCCCAGAAGAAGACGCATTCACCAAATGATATCGTCATACCTAGGAGGTCATGCCAACAGACGATACGATTCTTTGGCAATCATACCGATGAATCGTATTATCAAATGGGGGGTGTGAATAAATTTCGAAAAAGAATTATTCGCTCTCATTGTTCCTGTGCACGACTTATAAGATCAGCTGTCCAAGATGATGAATTCCCTGAAGTCACCACCAACGTGGCTGATAAAAGGAAGTCTAAGCGGCATTCAAGTGACTCAAATCCTGACTTTTCTCCCAGAGGAAAAGTCAATCCAAGAATTGCTCAAAGGATGTCTCGACTCCAATTAGGAGCTATCAGACGCAGAGACTACAAGAGAATGCAAGAAGGAATGTCCTCGGAGGATGAATTCTCGGACACTTATTCTGCAATCGCTTCTGATGATACAATGTCTAGCACGGGACAAACCAGAGAAGTACTCACGATCACCTCTGATCAATTTGCTCAAATACTTCAAGAAGCTCTAGCCAAACAACGTGAAGAAATTAGAGCTGAAGTGAAGACAGAAATGGAGTTAGCTATCCAACAAATGAGAGAATTGCTAGCTCAGCGACCTCAACCCCCTGAGTCCAGTCAAAGAACTGAATCCAGCCGCCACACTCAGAAAGTTGTGGATGACAGTGATCCAGAAGTGGATGAAGTCCACCCTCCTAATAACGATATTGGGGGTGGTTCAATGGCACCTCTTACAGGGGGTGGTCTAACTCATTCTCCTCAACGTCCTTCAAATAAAGACATAGACGATGACGAGAAAATGAAAGAGCTTGAAAACAAAATCAACGCTTTGATGACGGCTCAAGAAGTGAAAAAGACGGGTATTCCATGTCCCTATCCAAGAGAATGGAATTCAATACCGTACCCGGCAAAATTCAACATGATTAACTTCACACCGTTTGACGGGAAGAGCTCGCCTATTCAGCACTTGATTTATTTCAAGAGTCTCATTTGGGCATGTTCCGGAAATGAGGCTTTAATGGTCCGGTCATTCGTTGGCACCCTTCGCGGGTCGGCCTTCGATTGGTACCGACGGCTCAAGCCAGGGAGCATCAATTGCTGGGATGACATAGAAAATTTGTTCCTCACCAACTTCTTCGATGATGACACCGAAGTGTTAATCAGAACCCTTCTGGATGAAAAACAAAAAGACGGGGAGTCAGTCGATAATTTTGTCAAGCGCTTCCGTAACAAGGCAATGAATTGCAGAGATCCTGTTACAGAGGAGTTCATTCTGCAAACATGCCACAATAATCTCTCTATCGATGTTCTAAAATGCGCGGTGAACAAGCTGAACACTTTCTTAAAAGAAAGAAAGCTGAGAGAAGCCAACCGACGACATCTGCAATCACTGGGAACGCAACTCCCGATCCGAGGTTTCAAAAGGAGTATTCTTTCGAAGATGATGAAGCTCCAGCCATCTTGGAATACCTCCTCGCCAATGACAAAATCGAGCTACCACCTATTAAAGATCAGGAGGGAGCTAAAAGAATTACGGATCCAAACTACTATGCGTACCACAGAAGGGTTCTTTATCCCACTGAGATTTGCTTCGGACTCAAAAATAAAATCCAAGCATTAATTGACTCCGGCGTCATAATGG